GTTTTCGGTTTTTGGGTTCCGTACATCCACATTGGAAGTGCAAAGAGGTTGGAGATTTCGGTTGGGAACTTGGGACCCCGAAAAAGTATTTTTTTTTTTTTTTTTGAGGGGGAAAGAGCATTTGGATGTCGCGTGCAATCGCGTTGATATATCGATTTGGCCCGGCTACTTAATCAAAATAATTCCGGGCAATGCGACGCGCTGACAATTCTCGGAATTTTGATAGAGTTGCTCCAACGGATTGCGGTTCTTGTGACAAATCTTCGCCGGAATGGCTTTTCGTGGCAAGCTAATCGAAAATGTTGATAAATTTGCAGGGGGTGCCAAAAACAATTTATACGCAGTCAAAACACAAAACCAGAGTTGCATGGAAAAACTTTAGTTTATGTTCATCGATATGTCGGCAATTTATCATTGGCAAAACACCTAAATTAGAGTTTCATATTACAATTGATTGTGGTATTCGGAAATCCTTTCATTTACCTTGTATTATTTTGTCATAATAAAACCCTTTTGAGTTTCCATTAAAATGGCGACTACTAGGCATTTTCTTGTTCTGAAATTTCTGTGGCGAATTTCCCGCTCAACTTTGCCGCGCATCCAATGGCTCAAATTGCCCAAAATGTTACCCAAAGGATCTCCGAAAGTACACGCACACACGGACACGCACACACATACAAAACAATTGAGAACTCGCAGGATAAATTCGGCATTTGCAGTTGCTGAATGTTTCGGAAGTTTCAGCTCCTTTTCCACCAAAGAGGCGTCGTGTAAGCGTATTTAACTTTATTATTTATGCCAAAACTCGAATGTGTGTGTATGTGTGTGTGTGTGTGTGCCAGTGTGTTTGAGCGCTTATTAATTTATAATACACTGCGGCCTTGCCTTTTTGGGGTGGCCCCAAAACTTTGTATTCAATAAAATGCCGCCGTTGTTGTTTGCGTTGCTCGTGGGTTGCATTTCTATTTTATTTATTTTTTTTTTTAAATGTTCCACCCAGAACTTTGGGACTTTCGAGAACTAAAATGTTCGGGAGTTCCTGCAGGCGAGAATGGGTAAGTGCAACTCATTTGCATAAAATGCTGCTGAAACATTTATGCCCCAGAGCAGTCAGTGGCACACTTGAGATAATTCTAATTAATGTGATGGTAGTGAACCAAACTGACCTTACATCAGACTTTAATTCTTTATGCCAGCTCAATAGCTGAATTGTGGCTTCTTAGATTCAATACATTAATATTGCTTGGTTCTTAAAAGCCTTTAAACATTATCTATATTTTATGTACAGTACATAATTCTACAAAGCAAATGATTCTTCCTACTGATGTGTAAAAACCTTTCAAGTTTTTGTTTAAGAGCAGTTTGTAATGTATACGATACCTTCTCATTTTCTTCAAAAACTGTTTGCCTAAATGGGGTCAGGTTTCCTTCTGCATGTCCAAATTTAACCACATCTAATGAGTCAATGAGCCACAAAGGAAAAACACTCACCCAAAGGCAGTTAAAGGGGAAAACTCGGGGGTTGTTCGTGGCCATATGAAAATAGCCCAGACAATGGGCTTTTCTTGGCTGGAACTTCTTCAACTTGGAGAGATATACTCGTGGCGAAAAACAAATGAGCAGAGCGTTGCCCAAATATTGTTCAGCCAGAAAAGACCGAAACAAAAGGGCGGGAGGAGGAGGAAGATATGGGGTTGTGGGTGGAAAAGCGGGGAAAAAGCTGGGGGAAAATCTCCGACCAACATGGAACATAATGGCATAAAGCGTTGATAACAAATTTGCGCATTTCAACATGAATGAATTCTCCAGAGTGGCGGAGCACACATGAAAATGTGTGTGTGTGGCGATGGATGGAGGGGGGGTCTCCAAACTCAAAAGGGGGGTTTGTGCACTCACTCAAGGATTTTCCAGGAAGGAGGAGGAGGCTTTCGGGGGAATGGGGGTTTGGGTTGGAGGACTACCCCTTTGGGGTGGCTTCCTTCTGTTCTCTGTTCTCTGTTCTTGGGTAGGTGACATTGTTGCCTTAAGTGGCCAAGCGGCAAAATGACAAACAGACGGCCCAGCGACGTGAGTGGATATCATACCCCCAAAAACCCCCCTACCCCCGCTTCACCCCTCCCCATCCCTCGACCATTTCCCGTCTCGCAGGACCATGTAACCGAGTGTCCGGATACGGATCCATGTCCGTGTCCATGTCCAAAAGTCCAAAGTCCAGTCACGGCTTGCTGCCAGCATGTCAACATTTGCTCCGGCGCCTTGAGAAAAACCTCGGGGACCCAAAGAACATACGGAGGGGAGAGGGAGGAGGGGAATGGGGGGTTGGTTGAAATCCGGGGGAAGAGCGGACGAACCGAGGGACATCAGCCTGATTTTCCGGCTTGGCCTCTGTGATTTTTCGGCCGCCGTCGAGACAAGAGATGAGAAACGCTGACGCAGCTGAGGAAGTTCGAAGGGAAAGACGCAGGAAAGTCATCAGTGCACTGCCAGAAATAAAGTACCAGTTAGATAAATAATTGTGGAATTGTAAAAAAAAAGCAGTAAAGCTGAGATTGTCAGTCATAAAGCCAATTAAAGTGATATTAATCTCATCATCTACCAATTCTTTATGTTACACTAAGTTACAAAAACAAATCCCTAAAAACTTTTGCTGGATACAAATTTTGGTTATCAGTTGGCAAAATATAAAGTAAGGAACTAATTTCACCATAACTGACTACCGGAAAATGTTCACAATGACTCGTTTTTTAAAGGACTTTTTTATCAACACTAATCCAAGTAAATTGTTTGCACGACCCACGCATTTCTTTCAGTGCCTCTTAGTAGACAAAAGAAATCAGTGAGAGGAGGACAAGGACAACGGGAACAATACGTGCAGGCTGCACAGGATGCCCCCAAGGACCCCATATCCTACGCTCTCCACTCTCCACTCTCCCCTTTCCACTCTCCACTCTCTGCCTCTTTCTCGCTTGTTGACGTTTCATTTATCGTAATCAAGTGCGCAATCAATGCGAAGAGAATTGCACTTAGCTGCCGTCTCTTTCCAACGGCCCTCCTGCCGTCTCTTTCGGCACTTGTTTTGTGTCTCAACTTCTAATTTACTTTGATTTGTTTGGGGCGCAAAGGGGAGCAGGCCATGTGGATGACTGACTGACTGAATGACAGCGACATTGATCAATTCGTGAACTTTTGACCCGAGAGGCTGGGAAAATGGCTAAAGATAACGAGCAGTGGCTAAAGAAAGAGGCTACCATGGAGTGGTCTAAACAAAGTTACCTCAGCCTTAGTTTTTTTTTTATTTATTCTTAGGCTTTAACTGTTTGAAGTTCAGTTTTATTAAAAATAAGTATAAAATAACTAGAAATCGTTTTAATTTGAAAACAAACACTCTTTTCTTTGTGGTTTCTCCATAAATAATAAATATTAAATGCCATTTAAATATTACAAAAATGTGTTAAATATATTGTACGCCTCTATGATTCAAAAATTACAGAATTTATATTGTTAAAATATATATTAAAGAATTTTTCATGTAACTGCTGCATTTCTATTGTTCAATATATTTGAATGTTCCCCAAAAGCGAGCTGCCTGCAGCTTAAATCTAACCCGAAAATGGCCAAAATTGCAGCAGTTTAGTGCCGGATTTGTCCCCTTTTAGCCGGCTTCCCGAAAAGCCCGACTGATAATGACAAAGCCAGCCAAAAGGCAGCGAGCAGAAGACCAGTACAGTCAGCACATTTTAACGCTGACTGACTGACGAAACAAAAAAGCGGCAGCACACAAAAAAAAAACCAAAAAAGCCAGGAAAAAACCCGGCGAAAAAGGCGGAAAAAAAGAAGAAAATGATGTTTCGCTAACCGAAAATCGTGCCCAAAAGTTTGTGGCCGAGCGCTTGACTGGCGGGTAACTTTGCGGCGGTCCAAATCCAAACCGCCGGCCATCCCGTCCTCATCCGAATCCAAATCCGAATCCGTTGTCAGTTTCGCTTCCCTTTTCCATCTATCTCACTCTGTGCGGGTGTGTGTGTGTGTGTGTAACTGAGTATATGTGTGTTCGTTGGCCAGGACAAAAGGAAAAGCGAGGACGTCGCGATATTGTCAGCGGGCCCAGAGAAAAATGCAATTTCTGTAGAGCGCGCACACCAAAAATTTCTACGACGACAACGAAAATTGGATGAGCACTTCTTCTTCTTTCTGCCCCTCCAACGCAACAGAAAATAAAAAAAAAAAGAAGAAGAATACATATAGATATATATAGTGGGCGGCGGGGGGAGTGGCAAGTCCCTGGCAACTGGCAGACCGACGGAGCATACAAAATAACCACAAACCCAAGCTGCACATTATCTATGAATGTGGTTTTTGTTGTGCAGCCTTCGGAGTGCTGGGTGGTTTTTCCTGCATTTTTCCCTCCAATTTTCCCACTATTTTTCTTCTTTCCTCATTTTATTTTTTTTTGTGTTTTTTTTATCATTTTTGTGAGCCAGCAAAAATCGCAAAAGGGGGCAAAGCCAAAGCGGAAATTGTTGAACAGAACTTAAATCTCAACGAAATTGTTTTTGGCGACAGTTTGTGTATGCCGGGCCTGTTCCACTGTGGTGGGTGGTGGTCGGTGGGTGGGTGGTGCCCCCGTTTCACCCACTTTGGCCCCTCTTTATCACCCCTCCCGCCATGAAGGTCCGAGTCTTGTTAGCAAGCAGCATCAGCAGCTGGCGATGTGCATGTGCAAGTTACAAGCTGCATGTGTGTCCACTGAACAACTGCGGACCACCCAACCACCCAACCACCCACCCACCGAAAAGCAGTAGCACCACCACCATACCACCACCCACCAGACGCCTCATTTTGGAGGCCAACTGGAGATTGGGCCAGGTGGTTCTGGGTAAGGTTCTTCACTTAACTACTTAGTTTTATTTAAGTTTATGGTTTTGAAAAAAACACACACATATGCAAAGTGGATAAGAAGATAAAAAAACGGCCCACCTATATTTTAAATAAATTTATTAAGCTAAAAATATTAAAAGGACCCAAACAAAAGTTTTCAAACATATTCTGCCAGCTGAAAACATTTAAAAACGATTTCTGAAGCATAATCAACGTTTATCAAAAAACATTTTGAAAGTTTTTAAGGGGATCCCCGAGAGTTGAAATTTCAGTTTTTAAATGGCTAAGCCCTAAAAACCAACTCTGTTAGTAAGTCAAAACATACTTAAATATCAGTTCAAAATATCTGTTCACTTAAAGAGAAAATGGTTAAGTTATGTTTTAAAAAAAAAGGTTGTTTCTGTCATAAAACACATAACTCTACAAGAACCTTTTTTTATTTCCGTACTAATCGCATGCGAAGCTGGTGGTTTTAAGGCATTAAACTTGAGAATCCCACATAATGCTACTTTCCCCAACTCGGCAAATAGCAAAAGGAATACCTATAAGTATTTTCCTGGGTTCCAAACTCCGCGAGAAGTTTTCGAAACTAAACTAAATGGTTTTTGGTAACCCAGGAATCCGCTGGAGTGTGCAATCCAAGGCTGTTCTAACCGAAGCTCCATAGGCTGACTGAGTTGGGTGGTTTTTCCGGATGGTTGTGGGTGGTTCGGAGTGGGTGGCGAGGTGGGTGTGGGTCGGATTGGGTGGCTTCGTTGGTTGGGCTGCCTGCACCAGCATTGCAGAGATTTGTTGGCTTGGAAATTGCCCAACAAATTTCTGTTGGCGGGCCACAAACAACGACACACGGCTGGCTTGCAAAATGTATGGAAAGTGGGTGGGGGGAAAAGTGGGTGGCTGAATGAAAAGGGGTAAGGTGGCGGAAGGGGAAGGGGGAGGGGGAGGTGGGCAGCCATGTAAGCGCGTATCTATGCATACATCTCTTCTGCCTTTGTGTGTGTGCAGATTACTTACTTTTCGAGCGTTAGTCGTTAGTGCCGTTATTTCATAGTTGCCGTCACGCCCAAAACCGCAACTGCCACGCCCCCCAGAGCCCACCAACCGCCCCCCTTTTTTCGGTAGGTTGGAGGTGGCTACTTAGACGACCAAGCCGCACAAAAGCGCAAAAAGCGCAAAAGCCGTTCATTGATAATGAAAACTCAGCACAAAAATATCTCGTAGGTAGGGAAAATTCAGAGGAAAATCCAGAGAGGACAGAGGGTCATAACTAGGTGGCAAAGTGGGTGGACCAGAAGGTCGAGAGGAGGCGGACAGGGGCTGGGGGTACTGCAACTTGCCACACACATTTATGAAGCCTGCGGAAAGTTTTGCCTCAGCTGCCCAAAAAATTATGTGGCTATATTTAAAGTTTTCGTGGGCTTTTGGCCCATAGTTGGGCACTAGACTGCGTAATACTTTTTCAGTTAACTAACGCAAACTTTTCCCAGAATATATATACACCTATATCTAAGCTATAGGTACATGCATATATGGTGTGTGCGGTTGGCTTCGCTGGCCCGATTCTATATGTTATGTACTTAGCCGTTTTTGGATGACCCACGATGTAGTTTGAAATTTGTTACGTACCTGAAAGGAAAAGAAGGAAACATTTAGAATTAATAAACAGGAAGTTAACACTTGTAAACTGAAATTTATAAATGACTTTAAATAAGCAAAAACCTCGTGTAAAAGAGGAATATTAAAGCTGAGCGAAAAGCCAAGCCCCTATTTAATTATTCCCAGGTCACAAAATTATTGAAGCCATTATGAACCACATTAATTCCCCCTCTTACTTTTTGGGGTGTTACACAAACATTCAACTCATTTAGCACATTGTTCAAATATAGACCGGCATAACCTCAAATGCAGAACAGAAAAACAAAATACAAAAACAAAAAAAAAACGAAACCAAGAGGAGTAGAAAAAAGGAAACAGAACAAGAGAAGTTTTTCCCCCACGGTGTTTTCTTGTTTTTCTGTTGAACCGCCTCCGCCGCTCGGAGTAATTTTGCATAAATTAAGCATCGACAAGGTCCGACACATAACGGTATTGCTAATTACACCATAATGTCCGAATTTTACAGGCGAAACTAGGCGAATTTCGGGATTGGGATTGGAGCAGGACGGGATCAAAAAAAAAAAATAAAAATAAAAATAAAAAGGGGTGGGCACGGCAACAAATTAGCATAATAACCTCTAATCATACAAACGAAAAAATTAAATAACAAGCGAAATGGGAAGGGGGAAAAGGGGGGAAATATGCTAAGTAGGCACACGACCAGACCGAAACATTTTTTCGGCTTCTCTTTTTTTTATAGCCATGCTTTTTTTTTTTTTGTGAACACTACAAGCCATTAACGCACATTAGCAAAACTTATAAAGTTATTGCCGCCCGTCTCGTCGATATGGATGAATGTTTCCCTGGGCTTGGGTTTTAATTCGAGGACCTCGTCGAGGGGTTGTTCTTGGCAGCCCCTCTCGATAAACAATGACCGAAGGGGGTTGCTACTTTCCTTTGCTGTGAAAGTGAGCGTGAATCGAAGTGGATGTGCGATTTTGGTCCAGGGCAACAACAGTGGTTTAACCAAAAATATGCATATTTAAATTAAGAAAACTATATAGTTATACATTGGCTGATATGCAAAATATATATGTTAAAAGTATAAGAAGGAATTCTAGATCTTCTAGTTGTTTTAATGACTACCAAAAGATTGGCAAACATTTTATATTCTTAGCTTTTCAAGTAGAAAGGACTAAGTCTTGTTCTTTTTAAAGAAATTCTTATTAGAACTAAAGGAGTGATACCTTACAATTTATAGTAACCCATTTCTGTAAAATAATTTCCGAAATGTGGTTCAGAAATCTCACCTTCTGTCTGGTCCACAAATTACTTTCACACCACTGTCTGACATTTACAGATTGTACAATGATTTTGCTAATTTGTTTGCCAGCCCGTAGAATGTTGTGTTGTGTTCGCCTTTTTCAACAACTAACCCTTAACCCTTACCCTTAACCCAAGGATGCCTACGAGTGGAAAAGGAAAGAGGGGGAGAAGGGGAGCGAAGAAGTGAGGAACACGTGCGAAATCTCTCAAGCCAAATGCAGTTAGCCGGAGCATTTTCCATTTTCCAGCCACAGAGAGCACACACAAACACACACACACACGTGCAGTCAAGAAAATGCAATACAGAATGAATATTTCAGCAGGTCAGTAGGAGGATGGATGTAAAGAGGGGAAATGGGAGCGGCGAAGGGAAGAATGAGGAAATCAACGCTATCCCATAAGAAGAAAATTGCATTTCGCATTTATCCCTATATGCCAGGTGTGTGTGCTTCCCCTTTTTTGTTTGCTACCCCATTTTCAAAAGACCCTTTTCTTCTCCCTTCGCACAGTGGTGTAAATATTTAGCTCGTGTTTAACCCTCAGCTCGAAAAACAGCTGAGCGGTAGCCATAAAAACAAAGTAATATTCGAGAGGGAAGAGGGCCCAGAAGAACGGTGAACCAGAAAAAAAAAAAAAAAAAAAAAACCGGGGGAAAAAGGCAGAGAAATTGTTGAGGAAGAGCCGATAGCGGAAGAAGGGTTAACAATGCCAAAAAACGGTAATTCAACAGCAGGCGTCCCCAGGGGAGAAACTCTTTGCTAGGGGCAATTCTCCATATTAACCCCCTCAATCTTGAAAAACCGAAAGAAAAAAAGAATACAGCACGAGTCAAGGGTTTGTTTTTTTGGCTATCAAAAGTATTTTACTAGAGGTATGTACCCTCGAGTTGTGTTTTAGGGTTCGTTGTCCATTTAAAAAGATCGCACGAGCACCTGTTGTTTAGGGAGATTCCCCCTTTTTCGGCTGTCAATCACTAGGAATTCCATTATCTTCCATGTACATAGGGTTCTAAAAGAAAACAGTCCAATTAGCAATGGCTATAAGGTACCTTTACCTGAAGTAATGGAATTTTCCAGAACTTGGAAACGGATTCTATTAGTTATATAATTCTTTTTACTATGCATGATCCTCTAAAATAAGTAATCATTGTTATCAATCTTTACAGAACTAGTAAAATATCATTTTAGTTTCCATATTTTATATCAGAACTCCAGCTGCACTGCTCTGATAAAGGATTTTATATATTGTTCCGAATGGATTTACGTCCTACAACAGTAGTTTGTTAGGGTTTATCTTTCGATCTTTCACATGTTTCCTTCTGCTCTTCTTTTCATATTTTTCCCCCGCTTTTCCCGGCTTTTCAACCTTCTGTTCCACTTTGTGTGCACTGCAATTCCGTTATTTATGCGCGGACCGTTTCCACATATCCCTATATATATTCTGCTATATTATTATTATTATTCTTATGAGGCAACTCCTGCTGTTCCCCGGTTACTATACTGCTGCTCCTTACTGCCACTGCTACTGCCACTGCTGTCGTTACTGCCGCTGCTGCTGCTTTTCCTCTTCCTTTTTATTTTTATTTTTATTTTCATTTTTTTTTTTTTTTTGTTTTTATTTATTTTTGTTTGCGCCCCATTTGGCTGTTTGTATTCATTTCGAATCTTCATTGCCTTTGTTTTACAACAATTGCATGCCACATTGCTCCTGCTGCCGCTTTAGTCGCTCCTGCTCGTGTACCCTAACCAGTTTTCCAGGTATTTTCACAATAGGAAAAGACGACTGAGTTTAAATAATAACTACTTTTGATGCCGGACCAAATAAAAAGTACAAACATAAATACTTTATAAAGAAGAAATAGAAAACAGGAATAGTATACTTTATAATGTACCTAAACATTCAAGAATATTTTTTTATTTCTATATTATGATCCCAACATTTTTATTAGAAGTGCCATTAACATGAGGTCGTGCTCACCCCCAACAAAATATAATAAAATAATGTAGTTATGATCTTATGATCGTCATAAAGAGTATCCCATCCTTCGGCTTTCTATTGTCCTAAGTGTTTTTTTTTATTTTCATGCATTTGCTAAACTCAGCATTTAATTTTAGTTGGCCCAAAGGGTTGAGACGACGACGAGGACGACGACAACAGTCAGTTTCGGTTCTCCTCAGTTCAGTTCAGTTTAGTTCAGTTGAGTTCTGTTCGGTTAGGTTCGCCTTCGACTGCAGATTGTGTGTGCGATGGGTTGTGTACGAGTGTATGCTGCTTGGGGTAAAACGCTTTGCATTTTATTTTATTTCTCGTTCTCGTTGTTTGCCACAATAAAAAGGGTGAATTTTTATATATTTTGCCATAAGTTTTTATGGCTTCCGTGTGTGGCGGCTGTCGGGAGCTGTCCGCATGTCCGTTTGTCTGCTGTCCGTTAACCCTCGACTTCCCTACACGGCGAGAAATTATTGAAGAAGGAGTATTAGGCGATATTTATTCCGTATAAGAAGATTTTTATATCCAAAGCTATCAAATAGCTTTGTTTGCCCATGTTTGAAAGGCTTCAGGCAATCTTAAGCTGTTTTAACAAAAAAAAAAATTTAAATCAGAAACTATTGCATTTAATTAATTGATTTTATCTGATTATTATATAAATTATATAAATATATATACATATATTATTTAATATTTATTTCCATACATATTTTATTGAGAAAGTAAAGTTATATTATTATTTTCATTCTAAATGAAAACTTGTGTAAACAACAAGGTTGGTTTTAAATAAAATATTTCTGTTAAATTGCAAAAATGTAAAACAACATTCTAAATTTGGATGATTTCAGTGTAGTTCCCTTTTTCGCTCCCGTTTTTTGTCGACATTTTGTCAAAAGTTAGTCCAGTCAACCAGGATTTAGGGGCGGAGGGGCTGCGGCGGGGGGCGTGGCTTGTGGTGTGTCTAACATGACGCGCCTTTACACTTAACTGTTTTAAAAAGTTTTCCCATCCCCCCACCCGCTTTTCCATTTCCCCCACTTCTGGCACACTCTTTGCATTGTTGCTCTCCTTGTTTTGCACTTTTAATTTGGTTTATTTGAGCACAATTTATGAGTGTCTGTGTGTGTATTTAGATTTTAATCTACTTTGCCGCTGCAGCTGCAAAAACTTTTTGGCAACAGCACACACCCCAAAAAGGACTAAAAACACTCCATTTATTTTTTGTGCATCAAAATTAAGCAAAAAACGCCTCGTAGTTAGCAGTGAAATTTTTGTGAAAATTGAGGGTAGAGCTCCTAATTGGATAACAAATTTCGACTGTAATTTGATGGGATCACAAAGCCCAAAAAAGCGACAACGTTAAAAGCCATTCCGAAAGGCTACAAAAAAATTATATATGCATTTATAAAAGATTAGCACCAAAATGAAACATTCTCTCTTTGAAGTTGGGACATAAAAAATTAAACCAACTCACAATTTGTATTAAAAAAATTCAACAATATTGTATTAATGTTCTGTCAGTTGCATGCAATTTATTTAATTATTAGAACCCAAATAACAAATTGCATTTTGATATTGGGATCAAGCTATAAGCGATTTAACAAATTGAAACCGTTTTTGTATTCAAGCCTGTCAGTCCATTTAAAAATAGTTAGTTAAAATAATAAATTGTTAAAAAAAAAATGTGTGCCAATGATAAAGTTAATTAAAGGCAA